TTTCCAGAGGCTATGATAGGTTAGCCTCAAATGACGTCAGAATGACGTCATGTTCTGCTATTTTCGACCAAAAAAAAGGTTTCACGGGAAGAGCTGTCAGGTCTATAGCTTTGAAGATACAGAAAATGTTCAAGACATAAAATATGTATAATTAGCAGGGCTATAAAACTGCTATCTAGAATTTTTGAAATTTTAGGATTTTGACTCCCCAAAATAAAAAAGTATGTTTATATATAATAGCCAAAAAACCCAAAACGTTTTTCGAATTTTGAAAAAACGGATTATATGTGATACTCCATCCCACTTTCTTTCCACATACCAAATTTTAGATTGATACCTCTTTTTTGGCTAAGTTACAGCGAAAACACATTACGAGCTGCATCGAATCGATACCTATTTTGTGCCAAAATATCAACTTTGAAATTTGACCTTATTTAACCTGACTTTGACCTGACCTTCACCGGGACATAACCTAAACTGGCCCCAAAGGTTGCCTGACCCACATAATCTCATTTGTCATGTAAAATGGACCATAAAGCATGTATCACACGACACTTTCGTATTGTGCCCTCCAGTGACCTGACCCCTGTGACCTGACCTGGTATCAATGACGTCAAATAGCATAATATGTGTTCTACCGACCATTCCCGCATCGGTGATTTTCAATAACATGCCTTTTACTCGATTTTAAATTTTCTTGAAATGCCTGTAAACGGTGAACATTCGACCTTTCACCTGACCTGTACGTCATCGGTTGGACCGAGGGCGAGGTCAATGAAAATTAGTCACAAGGTAGTTCCGTGGTAGGGCTATCCATCGCCGTTTGAATTTTGAAAATCGGCCGGTAACTTTCCGAGATCTTGGGGGGCCGATCTTGGGGGACCCCCCCCCCCCCCCCCTACGGGTGGTAGGGTCCACCGATAGTCCTACGGGGCGCGGGTTTAATTGTGCCCAGCATTCTTAAGGCCAAAGAGCGTTCAGCAGCCAGCACCCAGTGTTGATTCGTGACTTTCAGGAGTGGCGGATGCACGTTAAGACGACTTTGCATTTCAGGAGCGTAGCAAAGACAGTGGACGAGGATATTCAAAATGAGCTTCACTGTCAGGATTGGAGACAAATTTTCGATTTTGCAAAAGATGGCCTACCTATGCCATCCCATTGGGAAATAAAGTGAATTTATCGATGGGCAATTTTTATGGCGCACCCTGTAAGCTGAGACTAGTCCATATAGGTAAAGAGTAAAACGGTTTAGTTTAACACTTTATTGTGTAAAGGATAACTATAAACTTCTTGAAATACTTGGCCCTACAGTTTTTTACGCTCGCACTTTTAGGGCGGTCGAACAGAACCTCCTCGATTTTTCAGCAGCCATTTGAACATCTACGATTTACGAAGTAGTTTTGGTGCCTTCGTAACATGTTACGAAGCTGTCAGTGGTGGTTGACACCCAACTACTATGAATACCCGACAGGACCATTACTGGTTGACCTGACCCGATCCGACCCGATCTGGCCGAATGCATGAAGATATCATCTGGGATCAAAATTTGAACATAAAATTCGTGATAAGAATCCTGAAAAAACTTAACCTCACTCTACGAAGCCTCACTTTACGAAGCTCTGACAGGTCCCGATTTCCCGACTTTTGAGTCATTGTCGTGGCCTGCAAGTTCAACCAATGACCTGGGACCTTGAAATGGGGTATCATTGGCTTCCTCTCGTTACAAGCAACACGCTCGTATTTCCGCAAAGCTCTAGCTCGATTAGAGGCCGAAATGGCTTAGGCATACCGACCATCTTTTTCGGCATCAAGGCAATATTCATTTACCTCCACAAAACCTGTTCAAAGACTGCAGCTGAAGTTCACTTTCGGAGCGTTCGCTTCAGTTGGGACAGGTCGTGCGCGAGCTTGGACGGACCACGTGACCACCATGCGGCACCCTTCCCCCGCTCCCGTCCCCTTCTCCAGCTGTGCCTGCGACCCAACCGCGCCCCAGGCAGTCGGCTCGGTCCGATCCTCACCGGTCGAGCCACGGCGCCGCTTGAGTTTGTGCCGGGTGCAAAACTGGAGCAGAAACTAGCGCCGGAACTAGTAGCTAGCACGACCATCGTTAGATGGCAGGAGTGAATGCAATAAGCGGTTCCAGGTTTCAGAAGGAGTGGGGCAGGAAATAGCACTAAAAACAATGCTTTGCCGATACAACCATAAAAAGATGATTAAGTTAGGAGACCATTATATCAATTTGAAGCCTTTCAAACGGCGGTTTTAACAAGCCTACAATTACTCCCGAAATCGCCTTCAACGGTGTCACAGGCCAAGAATACTCTGAAATACTAGTGTGTACAGAAGCAACTGCGGGTCCCTGTACTACACTTTGAATCGTGCTTCACTATCTTCACTGTTTAAATGTTTGCGCCGTTTTGAATTGACCGCCAGTAATAAAACTTTTACCCTGGTCATTTCATCAAATTTTATAAAGCCAAAACGTTTTTCGCACTTATTCATCACCGTTAAATTCATTAAATAGTCGTAGGCAATTTCCGCTGTTTCCTTCGGATTCTAGCGGCTCAACAAAGGAATTCCTCCAGCTTGAATCACAATCTCCCTCCAATGTATGACGTATATGTATGACGTCATCTGATCAGTCTCGATCTCAACGACAACTCAATCAGAAGAGCGGCCGCGTAAGCGTAGCGTCAATAATGTATTATCTGCGCCAGTTCTGTAGTAATTTCGCAGGCTTCCAAAGTGGCGGCAATGTTTGTAGTGGTGGTTCGCTCATGAAAATGACTCGCTCATGAAAAAATATTTTTCACCGAATTCGGTCTTCAAACTATGTTTTTCTGATTCAGAAAAATAAGAAATGCAAAGGTCATAAAAGTGGGCGGGTGGCTACCCACGACGCTCCTGTTGTTACCAGGTGGCTACCTGGGCCTTTGTGTTATTGAAGCAATTGAAGAAAAACAGTTCGTAAAAACGGCTTCTTTACTTTTTGCCCTCTAGAGACTAAACCTTGACGTGGGGTCAACTATGAGGACACATTACGGATCGAGCGTTAAAAGGGTTATCGAATGCGATTTCTCGCAGCGCTGTAGCTCTACTGGTTCCCAAGTTAGGTATGCACCGGATTTTCGAAGAATGTTGAAGTAGGCAACATTTTACCTTTGATGGCCTCTGGTGACCGGACCTTTGACCTGACCTAAAGATGACCGAAATGTTTCGTCTTGCTTTTTGACGTTCTTTCGAATGCCACTCAACCCTCGCCGGTATTGGTGTCTTGCCAGCAGCGAAGGTAGGGGGGGGGGAGGGGGCCCGTTGGATCCCGCCTTGCCGTTTGGCCCCTGATCGAGCTAGAGCTTTGCGGTATAAACGAACGTGTTGCCCGTGACAAGAGGAAGCCGATGATACCTAATTTTTAAGGTCCAAGGTCATTGGTTGACATTCCGGGTCAGAACAATGACCCAAACGACGGTAAAGTCGGGACCTGTTAGAGCGTCGTTGAGTGAGAATATTACTTTTTTAGGGTTGCTGATCACGAATATCCTGTTAGTTTTGATAATCAATGATGTTTTCATCCACTTAGGCCAGGTCAGGTCAGGTCAGATCAACCAATAGCGGTCCTGCCAGGTATTCGCAGTAGGTGTCAACGGCCTCTGACAGCTGCGTAGCATGTTACGAAGGCACCATAACTACCTCGTAAATGTTCAAATGGTTGCTAAATTCGAAATTAGCACCAAAAACTAGATTAGAAACAAGTAAAACTCGCGAAAAGTGAAACGAGGTCATCAAAAGTCAATGACCTGACCTGACCTCTGGGTCACCTTGACAGCTGACACCCACCATAATGCATGGGACCAGCATCATATCACATGTTTGTACGCGTGAAAGTTGAAACCACGAAAGGACTGCAAGCGCGCGGCTAATGCGAGCCGACATACGCCGAATCGCAATGCCGGTCAAACATGGTCTAGATAAATAGATCACAGGTCAAAGGTCATTTGGGTCAGGATAATGAAATCTTAAGAGTAGATGTAGAATTGATTAACCTGAGGGCACTGGAAGTTTCGTCGCAATCGGCTACTGTTTACGCCAATTATTTGCGAAAAACCGAGGGGATCCATTCGACCGCCCCTTCGCCCACGTCGTATCGTGGCCCAGGAGCCGAGTTTAGACGAGGGGTGTTCAGACGGCCTACCCCCCGGCCCGGCTCGGTTGGCGCCGAGCACCGGGCCGGCCCGGCGCGGGCTAGAAACTAGAAAGTCCTTTTGTATGATTTCCGTCAGCAGTGTGTTAGTCAGACATAAAACGTCAATCTGTTTTGATTCCTGGAAAGCGTTGATTTGTTACAATTTCTCAGTCATCGGCCATATTATGTGCAGATGGCAGATGATCATTTTGGGACGGACCAGAAACCCGGCCGTCCGCGTCTGATCCGTTGACAGCCGTGTTGGACGGCTCAGAGTCCTGCTGTGGGCGGACGGTCATAGTGGACGTTCTACACGGCGGGGAGGTCCCCAGCGTCCGGAGCGGTCAGCTGGTCACCATTCGCTCTCCCTTGGCACGGCGGGTGGGCCGGCGCGCCGACCCACGCGCACCCGCGTCCCTGTCGCCTCGGAAGTGCCCGGAATGTTGACTTTAGCCGCCGGCAGCGTCCCCTGACCGTTGGGCCTCCCTCCAGCGGCTCCGGTTGTCATGGTTGCTGGTAGGGGAGACGACGGATTCTAGAAGCTACTCCGCGCGGTACCATGCGTAGGAAATAAATTAGTTTAAATAAAATTGTGCAGAACTTGCGGTAGAAATGTAGAAAAAAACGCATAGGTATCCTATAATCACCTACTGCAAAAATAATTATTATGTTGCTAAAATTAAGTTCTTAACATGGTATGGAAACTTCGGTTGGTATAATTAGGTACATAGGTAGGTCTAAGTTGAAGTGGCAGGCACCTTAATTGCATTCGATACATTATGTCTCCTCTCAATGAATTTACTTAAACACTCACCTGGTTTCCTGGACAACAATGAGCATGAGCCTCTCCTGAAGCAAATCCAGATCCAGATCCAGCAACCGACACTAGCAGTCAAAATATTAGGATTTTTCTGTGCACCAATTGATGATGCCTCTTCGAATTCACGCCATAAAACTGCAGACCTTCCATGGTTTCGCAAGATATGGAAGGCCGCACTTTATTTTCGCCCGTTGCATAGTCATACTTCAACTTTGGCTTCCACTCCTTGCACTTATTTGCACATATCCAACGTCTCACTCTCAAATGTTCCACGGCACATATACGCAACACCAAAGAGAAAGTCAGGGAAGACGCTAAAGGATTAGACGGTGACCGCCTGTAGTTTCAAACCCTTCCAAACAGCTGACGCCAGACTGGCCTCAGTCCGCCAATCAGACGCTGGCTACCTCGCTGTCAGCGGTTCCCATTGGCCGCTCCCCCTTGGCTCTCGGTGGCTACCAGGGTGGCTACCCCGTGGCCGGAAGGTTGGGGTAATGCATTTTCCCAGCTCTATTTCTCTGTTACTTGCTCGAAGATTGCCACAAAAAGAGCAACGAAACGAATGACAAATCCCTGTTTTAATGTTTTTTTGGAAGAAAAGTCGTTAATAATTGCAAAAATATAGACTCCAAATTTACCACAAACTGATCGTATGATGAACAGATTTTGGTTTCGCATATCTAAGTCCAAGTACTTGTACTTGCTTGCTACCTAGATGTGTAAATGTTCGTGGCAGGAAAGTTGCCGAGCGTGCTACCTGAGACCGGCGCTATCTCAGGTAGCACACGACATCACTTTTCACTAAATTTGTTGACTGTGCACCTTTCTTTTGAAGATATGAAAAAACACTTGCTTTTTCACAGAGATAAGGAAATCAATGTTTGCTCTATATTCTAGCAAGATTTGTTCCTCTTTTCTAAAATGGCTTTGCCTTGAGTGGTTACCTGGCTTGTCAGTGAGAGACTTGAATTGGTTACCCACGGGTGTGGACGAGTTGGCGACTTTTATGACCTCTGAAGAAATGCTGTAAAAAAAAATCAGCTCCATACATCGATTTTTTTTTTCGATGATACTGTCCCTTTAAACCTCTACCCAACCAGTGTTTTATATTTTTAAAACTCGCCCTCAAATACGTAATTTTGCCCTTCCTATGTAGTTCATCAGCGTATATTATTTTGAGCGTTTAAATTAAAAGCGTTTAAATTATTTCAAGTTTCGATGTAAAGCCCTTGATAGCAAAGTATGAAGCCGATCTCATAATTTTCAATCGCAACAAACCATTTCAAAGCACTAATCAAACACAATCCGGATTGGATTGCAAAAATTGGAAGTATGATGCAATCCAATCCGCAATCAAATCCTGTTTTTTGGAATGGATTTCAAATCCAGGTGCAATCCACCAAAAAGGAATGCAATCAGGATTTTGCAATCCTGCAATCACAATCCTACCGATGCCTGGTGACAGGTTGTAGTGGTTGTAGGTATGTGCAGCAGCAAAACTGTGCCCAGACTGCTTACATACATAACATATCACACATGCATTATCATAGGCTTGCGATAAAACTAAAAAGAAGTGTATATCAACAAAAAGACGTATATTGAGGCACAGAGCAGCATATTTTAACCCTCGCCGGACCTATTGGTTTTCTACATACGCGCCGGCCGAGGGGGGGGGGGCGGGTACGACCCCCCCCCCTCGCCGTTTCGCCCCTGGTGGAGCTAGCGCGTCGCGGAAAAAACGAGCGTGTGCGCCGTTACGAGACGCAGAGATTGGTACCCGATTTTAAGGTCCTAGGTCAACCGGTGACCTCTGAGGTCAGGTCAAGTGCCCTTGGGTACGGTTTAGTTTTTGGTGAATAACTTCGCAAAAAACGGCCGCAGAGCCGCGATTTTGGCAGCATCGTGTTCGCCTCGCTCAGGCGCGTCGAATGATATACTTTTTGTTCGGGTCAGGTCACCTTGGGGTGTTGACCTTAGGTCAAGGTCAGGTCAGCACCCCCAGGTCACGAAGTTGGTCGAAAGGGGTCATGTCGCATATCATTCGATTCGGCAGGTCTTCCTGAGTCCATTGGTGGCTTCCGCGACTCGCTAGCTCAATTTGATCAAGAGTTATTGACGAAAAACTAATATGACCTTGAAGACGTCATAAATGACGTCACGCAAGGTCAACATTGCAAAAGTGACGCATCTAACCTTGCAAGGAGTGCATCAAATCACGATTCTGTGTGCTTGAGATAGTTGGAGATCGTTCCCGGCGCCAGAATAGCAGTTTTCGTTTTTCCCCATTGACTTATAATGGTGAGGTCACGAAAATGACCTGACCTCATATGACCTTTAGGAAAAATCCGAGATATGCAAGTTGTGCGACTCATAATGGATACTAGATCCTGCAAGTTTCATTTCCCTGTGACATCTCCTCTGGCAGTGAGGGCGTTGCGAAGTTGCGACATCTGAAGACCATGCAGAGGTTCACTTATGACGTCATAGGTCAGTGACCTGACCTGACCCAAAAATGCGGTTGGTGTCAAAAGATCCGGCTTGAATCAAAGGTCAGGTATGCCAAGTTTCAGCTCTCTATCGCCAGCGTGTTCGGAGCTATCGCGAAAAAACCCTATGGGGGGGCGGCACCCGCCCCCCCCCCCTCGGCCGGCGAGGGTTAATAAATCCAACCGGTTTCAAAGACCTCTCGTCTTCGTCATCAGGGATTGAAATATACAGAAAGGAGAAAGATTACATATTTAAGCGCTGAAGAGAATAGCTATAATCATGCCTTTTCTGTTAGAAAACGCGTGGAGAGCGTGCTTAAAAAATAAAGGTCACTTAAGGTCGTCATTCACTATTTCTTGTTGACGTCTTAGAAAGTCTTTGACGTCTTTCAAGAAAGACGTCAACAAGAAATAGTGAATGACGACCTTAAGTGACCTTTATTTTTTAAGCACGCTCTCCACGCGTTTTCTAACAGAAAAAGCATGATTATAGCTACCGTAAAGTGGGGCTATTTGAAACGGATTTTACCGTTTTTGGCCTCTCCCTTTAAGACGGTTCATATTTCTTATAGCATGTAAATTGCAAAAATGTAGATCTCTGTGAGCTCTTTCATATAGGTGCATTTTGGTTCAGCTAGTAATAATGATTAAGGTTATTTTTTATGTTAAAGCCTGTCTCAAATAGCCCCATAGGGTGGGGCTATTTGAGACAGTTTTAGTTGCAAAGAAATTGAAGAAAATCGGTTATAGATATAATTTTTTAAACGCCATGCATTTGGAAATTGAATTTTGATCATTTTGGCAAAAATTGTTTTTTTCAAAGACTGTTATATATCCTTTATATTCAATCTTTTCATTTTTCGTAGGACACTTCATTTCGGTAGGGTATAAAATTGCATCACTATATGCTAAGGCTATCATAATATGATGTGACCCATAGCTTTCAAACTGACAGGATGATCATCAAGGCCTATTTTAAAGTCATCGACAGTAAAATTTTGAAAGAAAGTTTTTGTATATAGCCCCGGTGACGTGAAAACAGATATACCGAAAGTCGGTGGGGCTATTTGAGACAGTCTCGCTACCTTATGAAGCACACTGTAATGAATCAAACAAGGCAAAAGGTTTCCCAAAACATTTAAGTGAATGGTATGCATGATTGTTGGTTCCATTGTACATCTCCATGCGAAGAAATATCAGAAAAATGTTAAACGGTTTTGATTTTATGCCGATTTTCCTCGATCGCTGCATGCTGTATCAATTGGCCGGTTACCCTACCACATCAAGTACTTGGATAGGCTCACCTAACAGTACGTTCATGTGTTAAAGTGACCATCCCACCTTAACATTAGTTTTGAGTTGAGATAGCCAAATTGGTGGCCATGGCCTGAAAATACCGGTTTGGGCACTCACAACATCGAAAAATGCTTTAATTCGGAGATATTGAATTTCAAACTTGCAGTTTTTGGATTCTAAGGGGCTAATGCATTGGTATGCCCCCTTAGAATTTGTGACGTCAGCGGAGGTCTAACAGTTTTTAAATCTTTTACTAAAACGTTTGGTAGCACGCGGTGGTATATGCTGCTTTGCGCGCAACAAATGCCGCACTTTCAAATAAAGTCGCTAGGAACAGCGGAGATCCCAAAAAGTAAACAAAAGTAAAAGTCTAATATCTTGAAAACCGGTGAATATTTTTCGATGAAATTTGGTAGATATTCGTTTTCGCTCTTTCTGAACCGAGCGACATCAATTTCATGCCAATTCATTATTTTTTTTGAAGGTGGGAGGGTCCCTTTAAGTAGCATTCAATGGTGTTTTTTGGTCAACCAAGGTAGACAATGTTGGTTGTCGACTGAGTCAGTGACTGATGAAGTACATTTTAAGCACATATTCATCAGAATAACTAGTTTGGTCACCAGCTAAAGGGTTATTATGTTACACTACGAACATGTAAATATTGCTTGCTGCTCAAAGTACCTATCATGAACCCACTGCACGTTTATGACCACGACCGATTCACCGGTGTTGCTTATGTCGAACGTTCGATGCACTTCAGGTAGATGGCGGTAAGTCTTCTCGGGTGCATCGCATCACCGTTATCATCAGCTATTTGGCATATCCGTTGAGGTTTGACCAGGTGGGCATCATCGGGATTCTGAGACAATGGGTTACGCAATCGGCAGTACCGTTAACAATAAATAATATTTTCATGAAAAATGTGCTTAGCCTATAAGCAAAAAGGTAGGAACGATAGATACAGTGGCGAAGCTGTTAAAACTTCAACTTTGTTGAGCTGCAGGTAGGGGTCCTTTTCGAGCAACTAAAAATGTGCGTTTTTCTGTATTTCGTATTTTATTGCAAATTTATTTCAGAACTTTTCGAAATTTTCAAAAAGGTTATTCAGAACATTCACTGTTCAATTCCACATTAGGCTAAGCAAAAATGACGAAAAAACATCAATCGGTTTTCATTTTACAGCGATTTTACTATACCATTACCTTACTGTCTCAAATAGCCCCACTGTCTCAAATAGCCCCACTTTACGGTATTCTCTTCAGCGCTTAAATATGTAATCTTTCTCCTTTCTGTATATTTCAATCCCTGATGACGAAGACGAGAGGTGTTTGAAACCGGTTGGATTTATCAAAATATGCTGCTCTGTGCCTCAATATACGTCTTTTTGTTAATCTTTACCAGAACAATGAACAGTAATATCAAGTGTATATCAGTTTAACTGGTATAATTTTGGTTTTATTTGTTATTCGTGATGGAAGCTCTTCAGTCAGCCGTAGGTACGAGTATATTCCTTCTTTGTCTCCCAGGGGTACCTACCTTCTACCTACGTTTA